AGTATAGGTGCATCATCCTCACCATATCACCATGCGAGATAGACTACCCACTAGGGCATCCTACAGGTATAGCATATCATCCTTATCGCATCACCATGAGAGACGGACTACCCACTAGGCATCCTACAGGTATGGCCTATCAGCCTCATCGCATCTTCATGCGGGACGGACTACCTACTCAGGCATCCTACAGAGCATGGGCGCATCAGCCTACTCCAGTGTGGTATACTGATGCATTACCCTAGGTAATACTGAGCTATGCCCATCAATGGTATCAATGCAAACATATGCAACTCTATCTTGTCATCTCCTATCATGATGAAATCAACATATGAGGCTTCACCATCTCAAAGGGTTCGTGTTTGCTCAAACTCCACACGTATACTCCCAGGGTCACTCACGTGTATTGACATGCAGGATCGTACATCATGTCTGCAGCCCGACGCGCGTGGAAGATCAACACACACAAAGATAGCATCAAGTCAATCAACTGGTCCTTGGAGGTTAGTCGACTGACACTTGATAAGTCGACTGGCTTCCCATCAGTCGACCGAACAGCAAACGTGCACAACATGCACAAACAACAAGACTCGATCGGTCAACTGATACATATGTCGGTCGACCAACTTAGTTTCTTGGAGACTTATCAGTTGACTGATTCTTCTGATCAGTCAACCGACCCGAAGGTGCATCGAAAACTGACAGCTTTAGCGAAAATATCAGAAAATCAAAATTTTACTTGAAATAAAATATGTTTTAATTCTTATTTAGGGTATTTAGGATTTACTCTGATACATAAAATCTAAAATATCAATTTGAGGGGATCTAATAACCCAAAACATGATTATGATTATAAATCCATCCTGAAAACAATTAAATTTGTAATACTTATAATGTTAGATTTATTTCAAATATTTAACCCTAATTAAAGAATTCATTTTTACATTTTAAATCAGAAAATTTTATCTAACAAAAACAAAGAAAAAGGGGATGAGTTTGGAGAAGATTATCTTGCCTTGAGAAGAAGTTTTGAACCCGCAAACATGAGAAAAACTCGATCCTTTCTTCACAAAAGTCGTCGTCTTTTTCCTCCTCAAGAAATATAGAGTTTAGAGAGGTGGTGGCTACTGCTCAACGTGACAGAGAACGGGAAGAGTGGAATTTTGGATATATATATATATATATATATATATATTATATATATATAGTAATTATATATATATATATATATATTATATATAATATGGAGAAGTGGAGAAGTGTTCCTTAAGATGGTGGCCTTAGATAATCAATCTAAGAACGGCGGCCTAAATCACATGATTGAGCTACATTGTGGATGATCGTCTCCGTTAAACTTGATGCTATAATATTGCTAAAACGCACAACACCCATGTTTGGGATGAACACCTCGTCGTTGTGACCTTTCATGCCACTCGGTATGCATTTATACAGGGTTTTCGAATGAATAGAACTTTTCAGCATGGCGTGCGACGAAAGGGTCAAAACGATGATGAGTTTACCGCCAAACTTGGTGTGTTGGGGTTTTTAGAATGATGTAGAATCAAGTTTAACGGAGCGGATCATGCAATAATGTAACTCAATCTTGTGATTTTAGGCGCGGCGTCGCTTAGATGATTATCTAAAAGGCATGCACCTTAGGAACACTTTTCCTATATATATTATAGTATATATATATATATATATATATATATACTATATATATATATATAACAGTATAGTATATATATATAATATATATGATATATATATATATATATATATATATACACACACACACACACACACACACACACACACACACACACACATACATACATAAATACATAAATACAGACACACACACACACATACACAAAATCTACCTGACCCGAACCTAAGTTCTACAGACAAATCGTTCGACTGGTCCTTCTTATCAGTCGAACGACCAGAAGATGAGAAAAAAATTTTAGGGTTTTATAATATCTGAGGCGCATTTATGAGGAAAGCAACTGGCTGTTATTGATGTGATACTCTGACATCACTGGAGATTGTGCATTGGCATTGCCTCATTTCGTCTTCCGAGGTTGATCTTAGCCTACAATCCATAATCGAGTCAACCGCTCTGATCTCGATATGTGGCCGGCCTCGAGGCTATATATATACTTGTTCTGCTGAAGGTATCTGTTTACAATTTATGAAACCTAGGTGTTTTGAGTTCTTTTGGATTGTAATTAACACAGATTACAACAAAAGAAAATATAATGAAACAAAAGAATTTTTTTCCTTGGGTACTTTTTCGTGTGTCAGTGGAGCGTCGATCGTGTACTCCATTGACTCACTGACTAAGACGATGGGTCTTTTTGTTGTTGATGAGGATTGGATTACTTAGAAGCTAGCTCAGTCTTCTCTTAGTAATACTTCTCAATAGAATATCAAATGTATGGTTTTGCGCGTATATATGTCTGTGCCTACGTCTGCGTCTATGTGTATATCTCTCTCTGTGTTTCCCTGTAAAGTGGATGATCTCCTCTCCTTTTATAGGTTAAAAGAGAGAGTTAATGGTTCCCTTGAATGTGGGTTAAGTGACCATTAAGGTAGGATTTAGTGGGGAGCGGTTATCCCCTAAAAGTAGCTCTGAAACGACTATTTGGGCGAATTTCGTGGGTCGGGCGAAGTTCAATTAAGACGTGGGTGAAGGTCGCTTCGATCATGGGCGAAGGTCGCTTCGATCATGGGCGAAGGTCACTGGAGTTGTGGATGAGGGCCGCTGCAGACATGGGCGAGCCTTCTTCATAAGTGGATAACTTGGTCCCACTCTTGTTGATGTGGCCAGAGTTTATTGGTTGGCGAACTTCGCCTATAAGTTCAAATTTAACACAGAATTCATTTCTAGGCGTAGCCAAACAATGATGCCCTTCGACTCGGCATGGGAGTCATCTCATGTTTAACTTGGTCAAGTCGAGTCGACTCAACTTGGGTTGTCTGGCAAGCTTCGCTTCATGAGTTTGAATTTAACATAGAATTTGACTCTAGGGTGGCTGACTAATGATGCCTTTCGACGTGTTGTAGGGGTTGACTCGTGGCTGATTAATGATGCCTTTCGACGTGTTGTAGGGGTTGACTCGTGTCTGACCTGGTTGGGTCGATATGAGTTACTTGGCGAGGTTTGCTTTAATCATTAGGTGATCTTCACTATAGCTTGTTGTGGGCTTGACTTTGGGCCCATTCGAAGTGTTTAGCCCATGGGCATTCACTTCGTAGATCCTCAGTGAAAATATGTTTTGACCATCTACAAGACCCCCCTAAAGTTTTTAAAATCCTGCTTTTCAATTTGTAGTTAGGATTTGAAATCCTTTAGGTAGATAGCCAGAGGTGTAGTGTTGAAAGTGGTTTGAGTTGTCTTGATTCGGTGAAAAATTGTCTTCATCCACCTACTTAGCTGCTAGAGGTGTGGTGTTGAATGTAGCTTTCCTTATTGCAGACTTTTATCGAATGATCAATGATGCTTGTATTCGTCCAAATCTATGCTTGGAATGAAATTTGCCATTTTTGTTGTTTGGGAGATGTTAAGAAATCAGTAAAATTTTGACTAATTCTTGGGTATGAGCGAAGGTCATTCTATTTTGGGCTATTGAGTGGAGTTCGTCGATTGGCGACGTTCACTAGCTGGTGAAACTTAATTTTTTTTGAGCTATGTTAGCAAAGTTCATAGTTCCAGCGATGTTCGCTAGCTGGAGAGGCTCAAGTTATTTTGAGCTGTGTTGGTGGAGTTCGTGCTTTGTTCCACTTTGTTGCGGGAGCTATGGCGGCTCGGTTCTCTCTTCCTCAGCACATACCCAACTGTTACATGTTGTTTGGGTTTTGCAAGTGGTATAGCGAGGTGATTGTTCCTCCTCCTGAGTTTTAGGTAAACAAGACCGGTTTGTATTGGATCACCTGGGGGTATAAGGAGCTATCCCATAAGGGCTCAAAGAGCAGAGTTCCCAGACTTTGAGAATTTTGGTGAAAGGTGTGTCAGATGAAGGACGGGAAGAACCAGGTGAACACCCTACTCTTGCAAGACAGGTTGGCATCAACATCAAGAGTCGATTGGGCCAACAATTCATCGAGGAGTACCCAAGAGGGGACATGGGAAAGGAAAGAGGCTATTACATGTTCCTCCTCCTCCACCTTCTTCAAAAAATAGTGCTTAGCGTCTCCTAAGCCTGAATCTACACCTAGATAAGCCTAAAGATGCAGGCAATTTTGATGACATTGGCTACTCAGACGATGAGTCTAATTTTGGGATCACGGGCGAGCAAATGCTTCTATCTCTTCCTCCGAGTGGTTATTTTGAACCAGTGACTACCTTTGAGGATGCTTTCAGTATTTTGACATTAATACCTGAAGTTGAAATGACCGAGGTTCCTGCACCATCGCCTGCTTCGTTAGTGCAGCGGAGATTGATTATTCACGATGCTTATGATAATGATGATGGCGTCTTGATTTCTCCCTTGCCGGCAAGGGTTGAAAGGGAGGGGCCATTAAGCCCTAAGTCATCCCATGATGATGACCCAAGCATGGCTGCAGCTAGTCTTAGTGAACTAGAGGTTTCATCTATGGGTGTTGAAGTTGTACCCGCGAATGCGCCTACGACCATAGTGATGTTGGTAAGGACAGTGATTTCCTCTATTGTCTCTAATATCTTGGTGACACTTGCACCGTATCTTATATTAGGCTATGAGCAGATACAAGTCATCCTAACTGTCTCTCTGACTACCACGGATGCTATGGTAATCTCTACTAAAGCGGGTCCTTCGAGTTTCGTGAAGATTCCTCAATCCCCTGATATTGAGGACTTGGTAGAGGTGGAGGTAGTGATCTTGATGGAGAGTCTGGAGAGGTTGTTTAATCAGAGTGTCATGGCTACCTTGACTTCTCATTTGTACTCTAAAACTATTGAGGGATAAGCTAGGTGTCTTGACTTTGATCATTGGTTTTGTCCGCATCGAGCCTTCAAGATGATAATCGATAAAGCTAAATTTCATTATCAAGAGCTGCATAGGCTTCGCACAGCAGATCTTGATGGCATTGCTGAGATTGAATTTTGTCGCTTGCTAGCAATTCTCGACAAGGTCAGTGAATCTGCCAGTGTAGAAATGGAGCGAATCAGTATGAAAGTACACAATTTGAATGACAACATTGCATCGGTTGATGGACACCAGACAGAGTTTCAAGGTGCTATCCAAGAAAAGATATAATAATTAATGAGGCTAAGGCGACCATTGCTGCGGCTCAGATGCGTTTAGAAGTAGCTCAACACCAAAAGGAGGAGCTTGAGCTTAATCTAGCCGAATTGACCAAGAGGTGGGACTCTCAAGTTGCGGAGCTTCAAGTTGAAACAGAGCATCTCTCGATCATCAGATCCCAGACCATTCCCATCGATCCTAGGGCCTTGAGTGAGCGGGCCCAGAAGGGTGCTCATGAAGTCAGGGATGCACGAGTGGCTGAGTGTGTTGCACAATGATTTTTTTTTGTAGTTCTTTCAATAAATAAAATAACTTCTTATCTCCCTTGATGTATGTATGATAGAGGTGTAGTGTTAACGTATCATTGTAACATCTTTGCTGGGGATACTGATGTTAGGATAAAACTAAAAGAGGTGTAATGTTAACATAATAGCTTGATTAAGTTGACACTGTTCAGAGGTGTGATGTTAACATGACAGTAAGAAGATATTTGACAGAAGTGTAATGTTAACGTGCCAAATGGGATGACTGACAGAGGTGTAATGTTAACCGGTCGGTTGAATCAAACTGATAGAGGTGTAATGTTAACATATCAGGTTTGCAAGATTAATACTATTTAGAGGTGCAATGTTAACATGACAGTACTGAAGAATTTTGACAGAGGTGTAATGTTAACGTGCTAAAAAGGAGTGACCAACAGAGGTGTAATGTTAACCGATTGGTTCACGAGAGTCCGAAGGACGACTACCATTTGGAAGTATAATATTAACTTAGCGGTAAGAAATCGATGGAAGTGTAATGTTAACTAATCGATTTTTGATGAGAATGAATTTGATAGAGGTGTAATGTTAACTGGTCGAATTCGCTAGGATAGGTCAACAGAGGTGTAATGTTAACCGGTCAGATCAAAAAAAGGGAAACCGTTCAGAGGTGTAATGTTAACATGACGGTTTGATTAAGTCGATATTGTTCGGAGTGCTAGCCCTTATGTTTTGATGATGTTTTACAACCACCATTAACGGTACTAATGGCTTATTGAGTGCAAATGTAGTAAATTCATATATCAAGCTTGTTAGTGCCATTCATGGAGGATTGGATGGAATATACGCTACAATGATGATATCCAAAGGAGGAGGAGGCATAGTGATGAAGCAATGTTATTTCAAGAACAACAAATTCATATAAAAGCTTCATCCAAACTCAAGCTATATCAAGACTCAAGAATTGTATTCTATGTGAGGATATTAGCTAGTTTTTATTCTCTCTCTAGTATTAGAATGTAGGTAAAGAGTTATTGATTTCACTTGAAGCTATTAGGACTCACACACACGTTTTCATACTTATGCCTTTAAGCGTTTTTCACAAAATACTATTTTTCACAAGTATGAGGACCTATCTGCAAAATTCCTTTTTCAAACAGTTATTTTTTAGCATTAAAAACATTTTACAAAGTCTCATAATTTTCAGAGGTCAAATAAATATTTTCTAAATATTTTTGTTTGAGTCAAAATACTGTTCTGGAATGTATCAGATGCGGTCGACCGCACTTATGATCATTCGTCACTGGGCGATAGAGAGTCTGTCGGTCGATCGCACCGGTCGACCGAAAGCCCGATTTTTCTATCGGTCGACCGCACTGGTCGACCGATGAAGTCTCTGTTTGTTTCATTGTTTTCAAACCTGCTCGCGGTCGACCGGAGCACTTATGATCATTCGTCACTGGGCGATAGAGAGTCTGTCGGTCGATCGCACCGGTCGACCGAAAGCCCGATTTTTCTATCGGTCGACCGCACTGGTCGACCGATGAAGTCTCTGTTTGTTTCATTGTTTTCAAACCTGCTCGCGGTCGACCGGATTTTCGAATATTCTATCGGTCGACCGAAAATCTATTCGGTCAACCGAGACTTTTTTCAACGGTCGTTTGCCTTCTTTACTGTGCTATCACTTAACTGTGTTTGGCACAGTCTGTGGCATTGTCTGAAAAGGAGATTATTTTCTTAATTAGGAAGATTGGGTTGTGATTTTAAAATGATTAATCTCTCCTATTTAAACCCATACTCCTTCATCTTCTTGGCTGGCTTTGTAAAGAGAGAGTCTTGCACCATTTCTACTGCTTTGTGAGTGTGATCTTGTGTCGATCAACTGTGAGGGAGTGTGATCTGTTGAGATCAAACTGTGTAGTGTGAGATCGCGAGGGGATCGCTGTGTAGACGAAGTTCCGGCTTCCAAACCGGGTGTGTAGTGGATTTCTCCTCGAGAGTGGGGAGCGGGAATGTAGGTCAGCGGACCGAACCTCGTTAACACATCGCGCGTCAAAGGATAACGATTCCTAACCCTATCTCATTTACTTTGTTTGCATTCTTTCCCCTAATGAATATAATAGAGTTTCCACGTGTGCAACCGCATACGAAATTTGGGTAAAATTATGTGTCACACATGAAGGAACCCCCCAAGTTAAGGAATCTAAGATTAGTGGACTTATGCATGATTATGAGCTATTTAAAATGCTTCCAAATGAATCCATTGATGCTATGTTTTCTCGTTTTACTAATATCATCAATGAATTACATGGTCTAGATAAGCAATTATCCATTCAAGAGATGAATTACAAGATACTTCGCTCCTTGACTCCGACATGGGAACCCAAGGCTACGGCCATTGAGGAAGCTCATGACCTCACTACCTTAGCTCTTGATAGCCTCATCGGAAAGCTCAAAGTGCATGAGAAGAAGCTCAAGGGGAAGGAAAAGGAGGAAGTGTCATCACGCGAAGTTGAGGAGCCGTCACCAAAATTGAAGACCATAGCTCTCAAGGGAGCTAGTGACAACTCATCTTCGTCGTCGGAGAGTGAAGTTGATTTTTCTAGAGAAGTGGCTCATCTCTCTAGAAGAATCTCTAGACTTATCAAAATGAACAAAAAATTTAATCCCCGATCTAACAACAAGTTTTCATCTCGTGTAGGAAAATGCTTTGAATGCAACGAACCGGGTCACATCGCTAAGGATTGCCCCAAGCTCAAAGAAAAGTACATGAAGTACAAGAAGAAGAAGGCTATGTATGCCGGATGGGAAGAATCCGAACCAAGTGACTCGGATAGTGATGAAGAAGGAGCCAAACTTGCTCTTCATGACCCAAATGTTTGTTTCATGGCAAATGAACATGAGGTAATATCCGAGGCCGAAAGTGAATCTTTCTATATGCAATGTGACATAGCTATGGCTTTAGAAGAGTTGAACTTTGAATTTAAAAGAATGTCTAAAGAATACTCTTCTTTTAAAAAATTGCATGCCTCTTGTGATATTAAGCTAGAACAACTAACAACCTCTCTTGCTCTTAAAGATGAATTGCTAGGAGATCTCGATTTCGAGAACAAGCAATTAAGATCAAAGATTGAAAAATTAGAAATTGAGGGTTGTAGAACTAGACCCACTCATGCTTATGACAACTACAATCACCATGGTAGAAATAGGTTTCGTGGTTCTAACATTCGTACATACAAAAGAAATTTTGTATGCACCTATTGTATGAGACATGGACACATTTCTACTCATTGTAGAATTAAAGACAATGAAGATTTTTATGGTTTGATATGGGTACCCAAAGGTACCAAGACTACTAACCACCAAGGACCCAAGACATGGGTACCTAAAGCTACTACACCTTCATCTTCTTCTTTTGTAGGGAACGTCACGGCAACGACGTAAGGAGATGTGGTACCTTGATAGTGGTTGCTCACATCATATGACGGGCAACAAAGAGTTATTTGCAACCCTATCAAGGATTGAAGGAGGCAATGTCTCCTTCGGTGGTGGTGAGAAAGGTAAAATCATTGGTATCGGTTCTATTGGTAAGAAACCCTCACCCATTATAGAAGATGTTTATTTAGTAAATGGTTTGAATCATAATCTTCTTAGCATTAGCCAATTGAGTGATAAAGGTTTTGATATTTCATTTAAACCGGATAAATGCATCATTAGTATGAATGGAAAAATTGTTTTTATTGCTAATCGCAAATCTAATGTATACATTTTTGAGATGAATGAATTAGTAAATCAAGATGTGAAGTGTCTTGCGGCAATTGATGAAAATCCTTGGATTTGGCACAAGAGACTTGGACATGCAAATATGGAGTTAATATCAAAATTGTCTAAGAGAAATCTTGTAAAAGGATTACCTAGCTTGCACTTCATCAAAGATACCATATGTGAGGATTGTGCCAAAGGTAAACAAACAAAGTCTTCTTTCAAATCCATCCATGAGGTATCGACTTCTAAACCCTTGCAATTACTTCATCTTGATTTATTTGGTCCTATGCGTGTTACCTCTCTTGGAGGCAAACACTATGTTTTTGTGATTATTGATGATTTTTCTCGTTTTACATGGACAATATTTCTTGCTAAGAAAAATGATTGTTTTGAAGAATTTGCTAATCATGTTAAAAGAATTGAAAATGAAAAAGATTTGAAAGTTGTTAAAATAAGAAGTGATCATGGTGGTGAATTTCAAAATGAATTTTTCTATAATTTTTGTGCTCATCATGGTATAACTCATATGTTTTCCGCTCCTAGAACACCACAACAAAATGGTGTTGTTGAACGGAAAAATCGCACCATACAAGAGATGGCACGCACTATGCTAAACTCATTTGATTTACCAAAATATTTTTGGGCGGAAGCCGTCAATACGGCTTGCCATGTTTTAAATCGTGTTTTGATTAGATCAAAGCTTAAGAAAACTCCTTATGAACTTTTTTATGGAAAAACTCCTTTTATTGGTTATTTTCGTATCTGCTAAATTCTTTTGATTTGCCAAAATATTTTTGGGCGGAAGCCGTCAATACGGTTTGCCATGTTTTAAATCGTGTTTTGATTAGACCAAAGCTTAAGAAAACTCCTTATGAACTTTTTTATGGAAAAACTCATTTTATTGGTTATTTTCGTATCTTTGGTTGCAAATGTTTTATTTTAAATACAAAAGATCACAATGATA